GTAATTGTTGTCACTTTGGAAACCACTCCAACCGGGCGTACTGTCCTTAACTTAACTGATAGTTGTAAATAACTGACTACTAAGGCCAAATAAAACCAATATTGAAACAATTTCAATAAAAATAAATGGCAATCAACAAGTTTACTGATTAGTCTACCAGCATAATTACTTGGGCTTTCCTAAAAAAGTTGCTTTGTATGCCCCTATCCAGAATAGCAGAGATGCTAAAGGAAAAATGTAAAACAAAATTCTGGTAGTAAAGGAAAATAGAGAAAAAAACACCTGTGAAAAAATAGCCTTGAAAAATGGACCTCTGATCAAATTGCTCTCGGAGAGGCCAATCCCACTCTGCGTCTGTTGCATTTCTGATATGTCAACATAGTCAAGGGCATCTCCTAGAAGACGGAGGACCATCCGTCGCATAAGTCGATCGGTCAGCTGGTACGTTGGGCTAAGGTCCGAACAATTGAAGACATCCGTCAGCTTGCCGCAACCAGTCTGATTAACCTCAAGGGCACGGATACATTTTTCAAGGAGAAGGCGCGTGCATTCCATCAAGCCGGTAGCTACAAACGCAGCATTAGAGTTACAGCCACTTAAAGAGGCAGCAGCCAAGCAACGGTTTGAAGGCCCACTAGCTTCACAACCAGGACTAATGGCGACATCGATTCCTCTGTTAGTTGTATCGAAGGCTCCGGAAACAGAGAAAAGGCGCAGAAAGCCCTTGAGACCAGCTTCGAAAAAACGCTCAACCAAGCGAACATCTGATTCGGAGGAAAGGTCGAGAGGCAATTGATGAAGAAAAATAACCAAGTTTTTGTAGACCTATGAATGTAAGCGATAATAGGAAGATGGGATAATGGGGACATGACTCAGCAAGTAGCAATGGAAAAATAAACAAGGCTAATCTTAAACTAAATAAAGCCATTTTTCGCTTTAAAAATTTACCAGGAAATGGGGCTTAGTTAAAATATTGATATAAAGTGACTCAATTTATATGATCATATACGAAAAGAGCACGAAACAGTCGCTAAAGTATCCATATAGGACGGTTTAATAATAATAGCATGTACGCTATTAAAAGAAATAAGCCGATGTATAAGTACTTAAAAAAGTACATTCACCTGCGAATTATAAACGAAAAATATTGAATTATTAACAATAAGAGTATAAGGAAAGAGAAGTCGATAACTAATCAAGGAACTAAAAAACGAGAAAAGCTTTGCTATTAAAACTACAGAAAGGGGTGATAAACAATATATCTTTCGAACCGAACACGGGGCATATATATGATTTATAAATTTACAAACAATTCAGATTAGGTTGATTAAAGTTAACATAAAAAATAGATGGCTGAGGAAATTTACGTAATAGAAACTAAAATGAGTACAAAAAGAAGAATATGATGTCAGCTACCTGCACTGGCGCTGCACCACCAGACAAGGAAAGCAATTTTTCAATTCGGTAGGCCAGTGAGCCACGCCAATCAATTAAATCCCAGGCTCGATTCTTTAGGGTCATCAACAATGAAAGAGACGCCTCCCAATGGTCTTTATGATGAGCAATCGAGGATAAAGCAATATCGAGAGCACCCATTTTCAGACTTGAAGGCTCAGTGGATTCCTCAGAACCCACTCCAAGGCGAGAAACTGTTAAGTTTAGCATATGAAGAGCTAGGTCTTTATTTTCTGCTTTAAGGAGCCATTCAATGAATGTATCACTCTGGCATAGAGAAATTATAAGTTTAAAAGTGACCGAATCCAAAAGTTCGATGCCAAGATAAGAAGGTGCTATGCGCGCTTTTACAAAAGAAATGGATTTCCAAACATTAGAAGCTGGTGAGGAATCCTCAACGAGAGATAAGATAGAATACAGAAGAATTAAATTATTAGATTCAATAGGGAGCAGGGTAAGGTCACAAACAAAACTGGTGAGAAATCGCAAAGTGCTGACCAGCACTGAAACCGATTGATTAGAAGAATCCAGACAGCTACTGGCGGGTTCGTTGTGAGATGTGCTTTTTCCAGATCCAAGTAAGCAGGAAAGTTTCAACTTGTTTTGCACAGCATCCAATAGAACACCAGCGCATTCTCGGTGGATATCACCAAGCTTACCATTAGGAAAATTTGTAGAAAGCCCTTTAGATGCAGCAAAAACCACTGCGTCGTGAGAATCAACTGTACCCAGAATCCAAGGAGGAATTATCTGAAAAAAGTCAAGTGAATAAAAGACTGTACAACTTTCATACTGGAGGCAGAAATGAAAAACATTAGCACTAAAGGATAAAGATCCAAATGATAAGTGAAATAAAGTATATTTGGAAGTTGCAGACCTACGATTAATTGCTGGAGATCTAAGGAGTGTTAAATCGGGCCACTATTATTTTGTTAAGTGATACTTCTGATATTGAACAAGGCACTGCAAATCAACCTCTTTGATAGGGCAAATTACATGAAGATAAACGGACACAATATAGACATTACTAGAAAGCCACCTATAAAATATAGCTAGTTAACGACCAGACAGAAAATTCTATACCCAAATCTGCTGATCTGTTATCTAATGTTTGGAGCATCTACTGTCGGAATCTTAAGTAACGAAGAGGGGTCTTTACAAATGGTCATGAGGTCCAGAATATAGGTCAAATGTAAATTTAATTTTATAGGAAGAAAATGTTAGGGACTTGTTACATAAAGGAGTCCCAATAATCAATTAAACAGAACTATAGCTAATGGTCCAAATTATGGGTAGATGTCAGTAGCTGGGCCTTGGGCCCTCGATCAAGCCAATGTAGTAGTAGTAATAAAAGATAAAAACAATGATATAAAAAAAGATAAATACCGTACACGCATCTCAGCAATTTGCCATCGAATACTATTATTTAGATTAATCTAAGATGCAAAGGACTTTGATTCAATAAGGGAAGTTAAAAGTAATCAGGCAATTTAGGTTTATAGAATCAAGACTTCAACCTCTCTGAAGTTTGTCAGTAACACACGAGTATATGAATGAAAATGAACAGTTACGCCGTGTTCATGCATTTTAATAACACTCCAAATTTTTATCTGGAATACCAACCTGCTCAAGATAAGGAGTGACATGTTCGCGAATCTTATTAGCCAATGCACCCATAATACCATGCGAAAATTCCCTGACTTTTGCATCAGAATCCGCAGCCAGGCCAGGATAAAACTCTTTCCAGAAAGGCATAACAGCCAATGCAATATCGTTATCTACGCTGGGAGTGTCCTCACTAAGCAAATCGCGGAACTCTTTAAGCGCCTTA